TAAAGTTTTGAGAAAAGTATTTTCATTTTGAGAACTTCCATTTTACAATTTTTATAAAACTTTCTGTTTCGGCTCATTAAGACAGTTAATTTGTTTAATTGTTAAAAGATTTAAACGGAACAGTTAATTATTTTCTGAAATACACTGAGTGCGAAAATACCGTCAAAGTTCACTATGTTAATGATTTTTTTTTGTTGGTCCACATGTACATATGTTGATTAGACTAGATAGGACAGCTATATTATAGGATTTCTTGTTGTATTTTTAAGTAGTTGAGTTTCTAATGGTTAGTTTTTTTTTGTATACCTCAACATGTGAAATATTTTGAAAAATCATAGAGGTAGAAGTTAAAGTTTTGAAATGAAGTACGGAGATACTTAAATTTACTTGTTAGTAAATATTAATGAAGATTTGTTTCGGTATGATAACGAACGTTATGTATGACTGATTGGATGGAAATCTGAGCATTACATTTTTTAAATCTGTCTGTGTACAGTAAGAAAAGAAATCTGATTTGTGTGTTAGTGGTGCAAGAGATGACTCAGAAATAACTCTGGTTGATAGTCTTGTTCTGCTGAAATTTATTTGTTTCACTTTATTGTTTTATTTACTCGAGAGCATGTGTGTATGATAGGGATGGTATACCGTGAAAGTCGGCGCAATAGTAGATTTTTTTTTTCTCTTAGTGTAACCTATAAATTTTGTTCATTATAAGGTGTATCTAACCATTAGCCAGGAGCAGGGACTCCACTGAATCTAATCTCGTACTGTATATCTACCACTTTTTAACAAGCACACTAAAATTCAGTAAAATGATGATATGCTATACTTTATAAGATTTCGCTACATCTTATTTATGTTGAAGTTAAAGAGTAACCAGCATTTGGTCATACGTATGTTGAAGTTATTTACATGTCTACGAACATGAGAAATATAAAACTAGTAATAGTAAAAGATGATGAAGCTTAAAGGTGCCTGTTATTTTGTATGTTGTATTGTCATATATAAATGAAAACTTGATTTTTGTTGGGGTACGAATTCAACATTTTCGAAAAATATGGGAATTTTTCATTTTTGGGCGGGGATGTTGTATATCTGTATGTTGAATCCGTACTTTCCGGAACTGTTGTATTGCCTTGTCCGTGATTGGTGTGATTATTACTTGTTTCAGCCTCTTTTTGTGTTTGAATCCAAAGTAAAAGGATCATAATTTGAAAGCTCTTCGTTTTATTTATATTATACTTGTCTCTAGTCCCCCAAACCTAAGTCAGGTATATTACACTGAATAATCCCTTCAGTAGGACATCATCAGATCAGAGAGACCATGCATAAATAGGCAAAAATAGAGTTCATTTGCATCTTGATAAATGAAACAACTGAAGCAGCATTAAGGTAGCAACATTGGAATCCTGATATTTCAATGAAGAAATTAAAAAAAAGAGTAAGCTAGAGTACATTTTAACGCTCGTATTGAATTATAGTCCATAAATTATACTAAGATGTCTGACAAAAATCAAACTCATATAGAACAGATTAAGAAAATATAAAAAAAAAACATACAAAAAATATTACACAGAAAATTAAATATTCAATGAAACTAACCAAACTAAATAGCAAGGTTGAAACTTTGGTGTTTCAGTTCTTGCTCCACCACCACTTGTGACAACCGTAATGAGACTCACGAAGTAGACTTCAGGTGACAATATAACGTATGACAATCATTTCATCATGTACGCTAGCTAGGATATTCGCTTGTGATATATTGGTTGTCATCTATGAAACATATTAATATATGTTCCACAAAAAGAAAACAGTTAGAACCATAAGGCTTGTTTGCGTCCATTTGGAACACAATCGTATAAATGCTAATTAACGGCCCTACGATGACCTAAAGTTGTTCACATCATTTTGTTCTTTAGTTTTTGTCTCGCCTATGACAAAATTCGAAAAATGCGAGACATAGGGATTATTATCCAGCGACGGCGGCGGTGGCGGCGTAAACTATTTTTACACAGCTTTATGTTTCAGAAGGTAGAAGACCTATATGCTTCATACCTGGTTTGCAGATGCCTTGTGTAACGACGTTTCCGTCTGTTATATGTCCATTGTTCCTGACCTCATTATCATGGTTCAGAGACCTCTTGAATAAAAATACATTTTTTTTGTAATGTGAAATACTCACTTATTGTGAGTTATATGATACCTATATTTGATATATATATGGCTTCATGTCTGTCAGACAGGGTTCGCCTGACGTCCACCTCATTTCATGGATCAGTGATCAAGGTTAAGTTTTTATTGGTCCGTATCTCAGATATTGTAAGCAATAGGCCCACTATAGATAGTGCATTGAATTATCATTGTAAAGTGTACATGTCCGACTGGTAGGTTTCATCTGACATTGACCTCATTTTCATGGTTCATTGGCCAATGTTCATTTTTCAAGGTTTTGTCCGTTTATCAGATACTATGAGTAATAGGTCAACTTTATTTTGTGTATGGAATGATTGCATTTTGTATATATTGTTTGGTAGGGTTTATCTGACCTTTACCTTATTTTTATGGTTCATTGGTCAATTTTTAATTTTCACAATTATGTCTGTTTCTCAGATACTATAAGCATTGACGCAAGGTGTATATATCTATTTGGCAGGGTTCATTTGACCTTGACCTTATTTACATTGATATTTGGTACTGTTAAGGTTATGTGTTACTTGTAGTAAAACCTTCATATTACACACTTTCAATATAATTTCATTCATGATAAGTAAAGCAGGCAAGACATTTCAGCGTATGCACTCTTGTTATGGATAGTTGTCTCTTTGGCATTATCACTATATTTCATTGTTTTTTATTTATAAATGTTATATGCAGCATAAGTCAATTGTTAAATACATGTACATTTTTCGTATTTACATCGAGTGAATTGCTCTTCACATAGAGACCACGTTCTTAACATCTGATGAATTTTTTGTTATTCTCTTAGACTGTCAAAAACTGCATATTATATCATAAAAACATTTCTTCTGCTTTTTAGTAATAAAGGGAAATTTAATCTGACTCTCTGTAGACTTAACAATAAACACAATAAATAATGCTATGCTAGTAGTCCTTTGTTCATTAATGTATCATTGTCATTTTGCTTAGTTTGAAATTTCATTTGTTACCTATTCTGACATCGGACTCGGACTTCTTTTAAACTGAATATTTACTGTGCGTATTGCTATGTGTTTCTTTATTCCACATTGGCTAGAGGTATAATAGGGGGAGGGTTGAGATCTCACAAAACATGTTTAACCCCGCCGCATTATTGCGCCTGTCCCAAGTCAGGAGCCTCTGGCCTTTGTTAGTCTTGTATGTTTTTTTTTAATTTTAGTTCATTTATATGTTTTGGAGTTTAGTGTGACGTCCATTTTCACTGAACTAGTACACAATTTTATTTAGGGGCCAGCTGAGGACCACCTCCGGGTGCGGGATTTTCTCGCTACGTTGAAGACCCATTGGTGGCCTTCGGCTGTTGTCTGCTCTTTGGTCGGGTTGTTGTCTCTTTGACATATTTCCCATTTCCATTCTCAATTTTATTGATAATTTATTGTCGATAATTAATCAAGTCTTGATTGGGGTTCTAGTTTCTAGTTGTGTGTACTTTTGATGAGCAAGCAAACGGTTGTAGATAAAGAGACCAGTATATTATGCCATGTAAATTTGCGTAAAAGAAAAATCCTGAAAGATGTCAACTGTAACTACGGTGAAGGTTATTTCGATGCTAAGAATCCTGACTGCACCCTCTTCTAAACCAGGATAAGGAGAAATAGATCGAGAAGACCGTTTGTACAACACAATTGTATACGATGAACAGCTTTAAAGGATTATAATTAAAGCAAGAAGAACGCTAAGCACTGGAGTATGCCCTTTAGTCAGTGGTGACTACTAAATTTGTTAGACATTAAACCTATGTATTCATTTAGGAAATTAGTATATGTGACGAATACAAAACAATTATTCATGCTTTTTTATTCGAGCTTTTTTTTCCCCGCGAAGATTTCAATGAGTTTTCCGGGATTTAATATTTTTTTTACATCGGTGATCCCTATGAAGTATAAGACCGTGTCCTCAGTACCAAATAAGAAACCATTTCATAACTACTAAATGAATAAGATGTTTGATAAGCAGTAAACCAGGAACTCAAGTAGCGAGAATTACCATGGGAACATGCAAAATGATCACTATAGTGTATACTTTTGCTTTACTATGTAACAAAATGCTCTTTACGTCATTTGGTAGATAGTTGTTTCATTGGCAGCCATACCACGTCTTCTTATTCTTTATGTAATGCGTTAAAACATTCATGGTCCTACATCCTATTGATACTAAAGGCCTTCATTTACGTCATTTGGTAGATAGTTGTTTCATTGGCAGCCATACCACGTCTTCTTATTCTTTATGTAATGCTTTAAAACATTCATGGTCCTACATCCTATTGATACTAAAATTTAAGCATTGCTCAAGGTCATGGTTATCTCAGACTTCTTTACACTAAAGCTGTTGGATGTGTACTCATTTTAGTGCGAGTGAACATGGCTGTGATTTGTAAGTTTGAATTGCTGTGAACTAGCTTTCAGTAACTGCGACTACTCAGAGATCGGTACTTTGTGTCTTTTGTCTTTTATTTTGATAAGTCAAATCCTAATTTTACAGTTTGTTATGTTGTGTTGGTACACCACTGTCCATATTTTTTAAGGGGGGAGGGGGTAGCGGTATGGATTTTGCCAGTTGTGGAAACCCGTAATGTGTATGACCTTTAATTTTTCACATCTTTTTCTTTTGGTATTAATAAATATTTGTCCCATTGGAAATCATACCACATTCGTTAACTATTTTAGTCAGTCATGTGTGCATGTTGTATAGTTGTGTCATTTTCATTTTATTTTTATTTTACCACTGGTATCTTGAAATACATTTTCTCTTTTTGCAGAAAAAATATATAAAAAGAAAAGAAAAAAGTCTAATAATTGTTTTATAGCTAATACATATTTAGTATTACAAATATTAACATACTGAGAATTTTAAAGAAAAGAAAATGTTAAAATATATTTGTAACACCACAATGTTAAAGTGCAAATATTCTACTGCTGTGATATTCGTGGAGATATGTTGAACTTTACACCCGCTCGAGGTGATGACATTTTGGACAAAACGCTCATTTGACGTGATGGTGACTGGGAATTTCGTAATCTAGAATATTTAGGCGCAACTACTCCGATCTTGAAAATGTTTTTAAAAGTCTCGTGACTAAGACTAACTTGTATGGCAATCTTTTGAAGTTTATATTTATCGAGTCTTAACTCATCTTCCAATCGATGCGCATTGTGTCGAATATCCGCCAAATTAGAAAGCGATTGTATGTTGGAAGCATCTTTTAGAACAACTGAAAGCATGGTTTTATACATCAAAGAAGTTTGGTGTTTCATGTCAACTATATTAGCCTCGCGCTCTAGTTCCTTCAATTTTTCACTATGCATGTTGTCTAACTCGTTACACAGTTGTTGTTCCAGATTATCTAATTGTTTGTTGATCTGAATACGGAACTCTTTGATGTTTTCTTTTTCCAAAATCACTTGCTTGTTCATGGTTTCGATATTGCTTAAAATGTCCTGTCTCATCTTCTCTGTGTGTGTCGATATGGATTCTAGTTTTCGTTTCAAGTTAGTAATTTCGCTGTGAGTTTTGATGGTTGACGTGTCGTATTCGATCAGACAAGTGTTGCACATTCCATGGAGTCGTTTGGAGCATATATTACAACAAATGTTCCAATGGTCATTACAAAATAACTTCATGTCCTCTTTTTCATGATATTTACACTTCTTAGATGCAAATCCAATATCCGGGTTCTTAATGACTTCATCGACATCAAAGACGGGATGTCGGTTGCTAGTCAACGAGAGGTGGTATTCTAAATGTTCATCGCAGAGAGTCTGCGCACAATACGCACACCAGTTATCGGCCTTAGTGTCACGTCCATGTTGTTTGCAGCGTTTACATTTTTTCTGATGTAAATCTTTCTTACTTAGAAGTGACGAAACTAACGTACTGACGGGTAAACCTTCAGCAAAGGTTTTTGTGTCGTCTGAAGCCCTTGGTACAGATATATGGTACTCACAGGTTGGGCATACCACGTGCATGTTAGTCGATTGCGCCTTTTCTTGTTTTATGTGCTTCGTAATACAGGTTTCACAAAACGTATGCAGACAGGGCAAATGCTTCGGTGAACACATATCTTGTTTACAAAGGTTACATACCACAAGGTCATTCACCTCTGCAGGATCCATGTTGTCATCTTGAGATGTAGTCGATTTCTTTCTGGAATCTTTTTTCTTTCCTTTCCCCAGATCTTGTGTTTTAGCCGATCCTTTTTCCAATTTAGTAGTTTTGGGCAACTTTTCACTCTGTTTGATAACGTCATTCTTCTTAGCATTAGACATCTTTCTGATGACTTAAATCTTAACAGCCAGATAACGTACTATTGAATGCCAGTACTGTTGTAAAATCACTCCACTGCTTTAAAGTGAAAGTGTTACATTACTTTGTCGCCAATGATTTAAAAAGTATCTTAATATATTAATTTCTTTAGTTAATACTTATGTATTGTTCTTTGTCAGAGGCACTGGATGCCCCATTTCATTTCAATAGACAAGTAGTCTAACACAATGGAAAACGTTAACTTTCTGTGTATACATAGTAATGTATAGAAAGGTTATGTTGTCCTATGTTTAAAGCATTGACCGTGTCGTTAAACATGATGTATTCAATTGTTCCGAACAAGCCTACTCGCGTCATTCATTTTTAAAGAAAGAAATATTTGTTGAAATATGAGATGCGTGAATAAAATTGATAAAGGATATATTAAAGTTCTTCTATTTCGGAATTATGTTTAAGAAACGTAATGCATTTCGATATAAGAAAATAATATTAAAACGGCTATTTCTTTTTATGTTTCTCGTCAGCGTCTCTCAGACTGAATGAAATAATAAATTTCTAAACTTTAGATATAGTACAAGTTGTTGGTTTTTATGTCCTGTTTAAATGGTGGATTTGACATGGATATTGGACGTTTTTTATGGGATTCGTGTTGTTCGGTCTTTATTTTCTATGTTGTTTTGTCTTTTCGTCGTTTTGTTATTGTCTTTGCCATGGCGTTGTCAGCATGTCTTTATCTTATAGGTTTGAATATTCCTTTGATGTCTTCCGCCCGTCTCCTATAGGACTCCTGTATATTACTATGAATATTCTGTGAAGTGTAGTTGTTTTTATTTCTTGTCCTGTGGTCTTTGGTGTAAAGTTGTCATGTTGGCAATCATACCCTATCTCTTTGTTTATATTAATTACCTTATGCTGTAACTACCTTACATGTATGATTCATTTCATTAGTATCCATCACTTTGACAAACAACAATTGAGACATTCCAAATGTTATTTCTCAATAATTTGATTTTGGATGTAACACGTCTTCTGACTGACTGAAAGTTTCTTGTCTATCAGCTCATAGAAATAATTTTGTCATGTGACCGTGACGTTATCAATGTTTTTTCATGATTTATTCCTTAAAAATGGAATTTAGAATTAAATTATAAGGAATGACTGTAATATTTGTTCTGTCTTTTCGAAATAACCTCAAAAATGTGGTGCACACTTTTAAATAAGTTATTCAGTGTGCACCACATTTTTTTATGTTATTTCTTCATAGACAGAAAAACAATTACAGTCATTCCTTAAATAAAATACAACATTGACTGCATATGCTTCCGCGCTTCATTTAAAATGTGCATTTGTCAACACTTTTACACCTATAAAATTATAAAAAGAAGCAATTCCTAAATAAAACCAATGTACATAATTTTATTTGGATCTTTTCCAACAAGCAAAACATGTCCTAAAGTTAAAAACAACGATAAAAACTAACTATTTAAAATTTTCAAACAACATCAATTATTTATTGATAAAAGATTACGCATCTTAGAAATGTTATAGCAATGTTATGGCATTATTTTCATATGACACGAACATCTTTCCAGCATTCGGAATTAATGCAATTGGCTTCCGAAAATGTGGATCCTCGGGTGTCATTATTTCTAACAGGTTTGCCTCGGGGGATACTTGGTGAACATTGTTTGAATGAAATCCACAGACAAACACATGACCTTTTGAATCAATAGCAACACCCATAGGAAGTTTGAGATGTTTGTGTGAGTATTGGAAAATATTGACTCCTTCCATATTGACACAGTTGAGAGTTCCGCGTTCGGATGAGTCGGTGTAGTAGATACGACTGTCGTCTGCAACGGCAACATACTTTACTTTATCTCCCTTAGTAGGTATTGACTTTTCGTGCATAATTTTATGCTCTTCGGTGATATCCCATATGTCTAGCTTTGACTTACAAGCCACGATTAACTTTGTTCCTGTACTTGCCAGACCATATCCTTTATCCGTGGTTTTATAGAAATGCTTTAACTGCTTTTCTAAGGAAATGTTTCCTATTTCAATAAGTTGAATTTGATTGTCCTTCGGAAAAGTAATAGCAACAACATCACGATTCTTCTTTTGGGGAAGTAGTGCTACGTCAAAAGGATTACCCGGAAGTGAAAATGTCAAAGTAGTGTCTCTTTTTCCGTATTCTGTATAGGAACGAAGTTCTTTTCCCCTGTTGTCAACCAAGAACAAGTTGGAATTTAAACTTATTCCGCCAGAAATGAAACTGCATTGGAATTTCAAAGCTAAAAACTTGTTTCGTCTTTCTCTCTCAATTATTGTACTATGAGCAGTATGGACACTAACCTTACTTTCTTCTTTGCCTTCGATTTTTGGTTTTGTTTGCCTAACTTTCACCTCGGCAAGCTGGGTGATACTTCCAATCACGTCGAGTGGAATGATATCCAGCTCACTTTTGGAAAGCATTGATTTTTTATGGTAAACATGTTCATCTAATATTTTGACCTGTTCAATAAGTTTTTCTACTTGATGATAAGCTTGTGCATCAGTGGTCGATCTACCAACAGCTTCGGCAAGTATTTTGTAATGGTCGAGTGTTGCGTCTTTATCTTTGAAACTTTTGATATCTTTATTCATATCTTCTATTTCTGCATCATGTGCTTTGCTTAGCTCTTCCTTTAGTGTTACCTCTAAGCTGTCAAGATGCTGATTAATTACGTCTCGCAAAGTCTTGATCGCGGCCTCTTTTTGGGTCTTTTGATTGTTTAGATCTGTTATATTTTGCTCTCTATTCTTGATAATATTGGCTACTTCCGATTTCATCTTGTCGACTGCCGTGACACCGAATGTATTTTTCATTGCATCTACAGCATGTTTAATGTCTGCTATCCGACATTCACTATGGTGTAAAGAACGACAGTCACTACAGCAAAGTTTTTTATGGTCCATGCAATATTTCTCCAATTTTTTACGTCCATGTTTTTGTTTGGTGCAAAAAGTTGGTGGATACACTAATGACGGGTCTTTCTCAATTTCTGAAATTGCGTTTACTTTGTGCGTATCACGTGGTGTCATTGCATTATGGCGGACAGCATGCTCCTCGCACATGGCCTCTGCACAATATGCACACCATGATACAGCATCTGTCTTTTTATTGTTTATCTGGCATGTTTTACAAGCCTTTGTTTTCAGCACATCCTGCACCATTAATGCCGATATAAAGTGATCCGTTGGAAGTTTGTTGACTAGACTGTTGACATCCTTAGTACGAGCGTCTGGAAGTGGAGCTATGCAGATAGGACATTTCAGCTGTGCCGTAGAATCTGTATCTAAAGCTGATTTAAGATTCTTAATGATACAGTCTTCACAGTATGAATGTAGGCATGGCAGTTGCTTCGGAGCCGTATACGTCTTGGTGCAAAGATGACATTTTGTTAAATCTACTCCATGGCCTGCTTTTGACTTCGATCCATTCACAGAAACAGTGGTTGGTCTCGACACATCAGCTGCCATTTTGAAAATACCAGGTTCAAAATTCAAATTGGTATTTTACCAAAGTCATTATATGAAGTTAAATTCTTCGTTGTAATTTAGGACATATACAATAACAATAGTTTAAATAATCAGCTCCCGTTTTATCTACGTCATCTTATTCATTTTGAATACGTTTTGATTCAATATCATCTCCTTTATTGAGGGTCTGTATAGGATGTTCCAGTATATAAATGCAGAACGGTACGAAGTCTTTCAGATGAGTTAGCAACTATCATAATAAGTTAATAGTTTTTTTTTTTTTAATCAGTTTCGTATTAGAGATGTATTAAATACAAATAACAAAACTAGTTGATATTTCTGGCTATGTACTAATGAAACTAACTATTTATTTAAAGAAAATATGTATTTATACATTTTACCAACCGATGCAGTTTTATTTTGAATTGCAACGTTTCTATCACGTTTTGCATGTGGTGATTAAAATGACACACTAAACTTTTAAATTCTCCGAAAGTAGTCTCATATTGAAGTTCCCTAATATTAGATCAAATTGATCTAAGACGGATTGTACTTTCTTTATTCAGAGTTTTTAAATTTTGATAAATAATACAAATCACTCTTGCACATTGTTTTACATTCTCTTATTATAATACAAATATTTGAACGGTCAAAATTGAATTTGCCTAATCGATAAAACTTAATTGACATACAGACCCCCTCCAATGCAGCCAAGCCTGGAAGATATATAACAAACCTTTGCCATGCAACAGTTATACATGGAACCTTAACGGAGTATGGCATTGCTGATCTGTCATTCGGATCTTTTAATTTAAAGTACAGTTAATGTTGTGATGAGAAGATAGCATGAACTATTTTGAAAGACTTGGTAATATTATATCTATTGTACAGACCATCAAAATGATTAAAAGGTAATTTGTCAGGTGAGTAATCTTGTAAAAGGTCTATCGTGACTACAAGTCCCTCTAACCTTCAACATTTAATTTATATATATACTGGTCTTAAATGTAAATGTATTTTCCTGTTTCATGAAAGAAAGACAAAAATCGTCTAGTTGAATATTTCATAGTTACTCACAGTAAAAAAATCATTTTAAACATACAGCATACTTTCATGTGAGAATGCCTCAAACAACGAATTTATCAATCTACTGTATTATTTTTTATTTGTTTATTTCTAAAAAAAAAATATATAAATAAACTAAAGATTCAGCATTAAGAAAACCCAACAAAATACTAAAAATAAACTCAGGTACTCCGAAATTGTAAGCGATTCTAATCCACTGGTAACACATACCGTGCAAGCTCAGGGACCGTTACTCTAATTGTCCTTCGGTTATTTTTGGTAGAATACAAAAGAACAATACACATTGTTGAGCAACATCCAGATGGCGACATAAAGGTTTCCTTTACTGTCAATCACCAAGTACAATATGTTCAAAGGACATAAAGAACCTACATCATTTAAAGGGGAAGACGTCCAAGTCACAATACAGATCCAGAGGCTGAATTCTGAAATAATAGAACTAAACCAGCAAATAAATAACTGAAGGTAAATCCAGGAAACGCTTCGGACGCATGAAATTTATCACGTTTTGTTTTCTTTTTTTTTCTATAAAAGATAGCAACTACTTTCTTAGAGGCAGAAAAATAAAAAGAGGCGGCTACAGAAAATCAATCAACATCTCAATCAACAAAAAAAAAAGGTCTACACCCAG